TGCGCTTTTTTCCCTTGGCTCTAAGGAGAAACTTTTCAGTTTTAGTTTTTTTCTTGATTAATCCAAGTGCACAAGCAGCTTTCTCAACCTGTATTGCGAGGGATTTTCTCTGCTTAAGAAAACTACCTGCCCTGATTTCCTCGGTACAAGTGCTGACGTTTTTACTGGGCTCGTTCAGTAAAATCTGTGCTAGGGTAGGCAGTTGAACTTCAAAAGCTATTTGCAGATAAAAACAATCATAGTTTAAGAAATCCCTTTGTTTCCCAGATACCCAATGTTCCTTCTCGGCCGCAACCGCCGCCATTCCGGAGTCCAAAACCGAGCGCGCTTATTCTACCAGAAAGTAGAGGTCAACTACCATTACATCCCACAGAAGGTGCCTACCAACAGCCCAGTAGACCGACGTCAAACCGTCTGGCCGCTTCTGATCTGTCCTGTGGATGCGAAACTAAAACAGAACAAATGCGAGTGGAGGCAAAATTTTGCTCATGAGGGCATTCAAAATTGAATGCTCAGAGAATCTCCCTGCACTTTTCAGACAACACAAAATTCTGAACCTAGTCAGAGTTCAATTGCGATTCTAAGCTGCCAATTTGGCAATTTTAACCTTAGATTTTAACAAATTATGACATTCAACCATTGAAAGCCAAAATTATCCTGGAAAGCATTGAACATTTTTTAAAAATCTGTAGGTTCCAACTTCAAAATGATTTGAGAAAATTTGACATCAAGAAGGGCTACGTCCAGTTTTTTTTATTCCGTTTTCCAGATCTAATTCATATTTTCACGAGTCAAACCAACTTTTCGAGGCATCAATATATGTTTGAAACCCAAAGTTTGCTCGTCTTCCAAGCCAACACTTTCATTCAAGGAGTTTTTCAAAGCTACTGCTGAGGCTAAGGCGAAAAAAGCTGGTAGAAGAGTAGAAAAACAAATAAGCCACCTTTGAATGCAGGGAAAACTGCTAGCAAAAATTGGCTGTCAATCAATATATCAGTTGTTATATCATTATATATTTGTAACAATGTTTTCACTATTCAAAAAATCAATAACTTTATCCAAAAATTTTTCTGCCAAGGGAAGACGCGAGTCCTTAGGTACTCTCTTGAGTTTTCGAACATTAGAAATGGCTTTATTTACATAATTCCCCAGCACTAATTTATTATGAATTGAATCCTTAATTTAATTTTTAATTTCAGTCAATGAGGACATAGAAAACATCTGATTTTCTTGGAATCGAAAACAAGTGTTCTCAACAATTGATATAATATCATTTAGAAAAACAATCATTTCTAATCCAATTTTCAAAAAACTCTGAAGGTGTTTTGCATTTTTGCTGGTACACTTCCTGTTAATTTTTTCAGCTGAACCGAGCGGCGTAAGGTTAAAGAATCAACTGGACTCAAGGAGATTGAACTAACCCAAAATATCACAGTTGGACTTTTATAGACGAAAAAAAACTATTGAAAAATTAGTTTAAGCAACCATAAAAAATTCATAAAACTCGCTTATAAGGAACAATTTCAGCCTAGCTCAAAAGTTCCAGCGGAGCACCTCCAAACTCCCAAGGCCAGGAACTCCTTCCTTCAGACCAGAAACGTACTTGACAGACCTGTCTCTAAAATCCCTCAAAGGGCGCTCGACAAACAGTCACAAACATCAAGGACATGTCATCTATTTGTTTCACAACAATTAGGCTCGAAAAGACTCTGTGATTTTATAATGCGCAATAGGAACACGTAACTCGACACGAGAAAAAATTAGTATAAAAAGCAACACAATGAAATAATTCGTCGAATATAGCTTTGTCATATTTTGTGCTCAGTACGCTTGCGGCGTTTGCAATCTATTTCCCCATGGAGATTCTGTTTTAAAAAGCTGCTTATCCTGAGTTCCTCCGTACATACACTTAGGTTCTTTTAAATCTTGCTCAAATCAGTTTCAGGGCTGGGGTCGGCAGCTCCCTGTATCTCAAAAAGGTAGTCATTGATAAAGAAAATTCATCTTCTACTAAGTTTTTATACTTGTCGATTTTTACTTTTCTACATCAGCGGTAGCCAAACCAGGGTAATTATCCGAACCCGCACTAATCCTACTTGGGCTAGGGGCAACTACTAACTTTACGTCCCAATACCACTGCTTAACAAAGCGTGGCGCTCTGATCGGTCCTCTACAGGTGTCGTGGCTCTAAGACAGAAAAGATGTGAGAAGAAGATAAACTCTGCTTGAGAATTGAAGTCAGATTTGAATGCCTAAAGATTCTTTCTTGCCTTTTGAGGCAAGAAAAACAATTTCAATCATCTTCGGTGATGTCTTTTATGCACACGCATTTTTGCTTTTTGCAAATTTTACAGCCTACTCGAAGTCTTATCACAATTTTTAAATGTTGGTTCCATAGTTTTAATTTATGTTTTTGGCACGGCGGGACTTTCGATCATTGAGAGCAAAATCTATCTTGGAACGTGTTGATCTGTTTTACGTCTGTTGGTTTAATTTTTAAAATCAAGTCTGAAATATCGCTGGGAGAAACTGGCTCTGTCCATTTTTTGGGTTTCGTTTTATGGAGCTAGTTCAATTTTTCCATGTTGAAATCAACGATTGTTCGAGCGCCTGATTATAAGTACAACCCACGTACTCCAACAAAACAGTTTTACTTATGGAGCTTGTTGCTCCTTTCGCTCAGGCTAAAATAGCGGGCGGAAGAAACAACATAGCCATCTTTGCATGCCGGGAGAACTGCTTGTAAAACTATCTATGTTTTCTAACCATTTTATGGTTAGAAAACTTGGAAAAGGTGTTCCTTTATATTCTGTCGTAACGTTCAAAATAGGGTTTTGGTACGCAAAAAAACAGAGAAAAATGGAATGCTAATGCAATTTTTCAGAAGAAACAGCAAAATAGGCATTTAGTTTGTCATCGAGAATTTTTCAAATTACTCTATTTTTTCTCAAGAAGTTGTTACGACACAAATCAGCTATTGGACAATCTAGCAAAAATATATTCTTCTTTTGCTTTTCATTATTTTGTTACATCCTTCAGAAACTTACGTTAAACTTCAATCGTACTGTGAACTTATTTAGTTCTGCATGATTGGAAAAAAATTTTTTACTTTTGTTCTCTATTTAGAGAGCTAAGGTAATTCTCAAAATCTAGTCTTAGAATAACAGAGCTATTTCGATTGTCTTCGCGTTCAATTAGGTTTCGAAACAAGTGTGCAGCTAATTCTGCTCCTCGTTTAGTGACCCACCCGACCAGCAGATTTCAACTGTAGATTGAAAAGAGAGTTTATTTAGGCAAAACAACAAGTATCACTCCTTTAAATCTCCTTACTTATTAATAGCTTTCTGATCTGCTCGAATTCAGTCAGAGACAGGCTTAAAACTTGAGGATGTTTTCTTTTTGAAAGTGAAACAGTATTGGCTCAAATTTTTGTTATTATCAAAAAGGTCATGCTTGTGGTTTGCTTGCGGCTTTTATTTTCGATTGCTCCAAAAAATTTAAAAGGACGTTTAAAAAATAGCTATTTTGTTAAATCCTCTATCTTTTGGTACTCTTTTGAGTACTCGGACATTTTAGATGGCTGCTTAAACATATTTGTTTTGTTGCCCTACTAACAGAGTTTACATCAACACATAAGGGACATTGAAATCATCGGAGTTTCTTAGAGTCGCTAGTAGAAACATTTTTACAACTGATTTGATGCCAACTAGTACAACAATCACTTTCTTTCCAATTTATCGGTCCTTTAGGCTTAAGGCAATCTTTACTGGTACATTTTTTGTTCTTTTTTCTTCATCATGACGCAGCGTAAGTGTAAGAAAGGATTTCCAATTTCCAATAGATTTTAGTGGACTGAATTAACCCATGACAAGCGGGTAGGGGAAATTTCTTAGATGAAAATTGTGTGGACGAGGAGACCTTTGTTCCATAATGTCATTTTTTTGACAGCAGCTCTGATCTAAGACGTAGCATTGCTTTAGTCAAGCAAGCACTGGTGGGCTTTGTCAGCGCTTATCATCAGGTGATATGATGCTACTGAGGTACTGAAGGTGATTAAAATTTTCAACCTGTTCACTGAGTATTTTGATGGGGAAACTAGTTTCTGTTTTTGCTTACGATACTTTTAATTTTCTCAACAGATACTTCTCGTTGAGCTAGTCCAAAAGTTTTGGCCGTTTATTCAAAATCTGGGCAGCATTTACTTGATTGTCGGAGATCAAAGCCAGATCAGCAGCTTATAAAAAACTTCTTTTTCGAAGAACGTCAGAAAAGATGATGAACGACAATGAAATTAAGAAGCGCTCTTGCCTTACTGCTCGTTTCACTATAAAGGTGTATTCTTTTATCAATTTCGATTCCTTAAAGATGTTAAAAAGCTCTCAAAACAATTAAAGACTCGCCACGTTACAAGCAGTTTTGTTTAACGTTATTTATAGCTTTTATCAGTGTGTCCCTGATAAAAGCTATAAATCACACTGACGTCCAGACAGCTCTTTAATATCTATAAGGTATCGAAATGGATAAAAGAATACACCACCTGTATAGTGAAACGAGCAGTAAGGCAAGGGTGCTTTTTGAATACACACCTAATTTCAAGATATGCCATCAGATATAAATATCTAATTCTTTCACACGTTCGTACACAATTTTCCATAAAAAGTTAACTGCAGCTTCAAAATACGCATTTACAGTTCGGGAAAAAAACAATTCAAAATTACCTGTCCCGAATTTTTTTTTCGATAATTAAGAATTGTAATAGATATCATTTAGATTCTTTCAAATTTTTGTTTTGTTCCCATGACTTAAAATTTATTGCGAATGGCTGTTTGGATTTGCGGTTTTTGCGTTCTGCTATTTATGGGAACTTTGAGAGTGACATTCGAAAATTATGGAAGGGTTCAAAAGCAGATATCTCTCTTTTTGTCTTGTAAATTTACACGAGACAATTTGATGCCGTATTTGAAGTTCTGATATTTTCTTCTTAAAGTGTTCACACTGACTTTCATGACATAGTCTGTGAGCTCTGGTCTGGTGATGTAGCCTTTATTGTTCACATCTATGCGGCGGAACACGTGATCAGATGAAATCCCACCATCGTCTTGATGCTGGTGATGCTGCAGGGACATATTGGAAGAGGCACTTATCTCATCCAGCCAATAGTCCTCAGCTGCTGCGGCTGTGGCTGCTACGGCTGTGGCTGCTACTACTTCCCTCTTCTCCAGTGGTGTCCTGGCTGTCCAAGGAGCAGCTCTGTTGGTTCTCTTGTCTGGAATAAAAGCAGCATCAGAACCAGTGCTCTGCACATGAAGCAGTTTTTGACGGTGGTGGTTTAGCTCTAAACAACTTGCACTGGTTTCAGCTTTCTGAGCTCACGCGCAAAATTACAAAAACACACCCAAATTTTAAAATTTCTGCACTGCAATTGTTGTACAAAAATGGCTAATTTTCAATCTTTTTCTGGAAATTTTTGGTCCTGGTTTTCCGCGCGCTCTCGAAATTTTAGTATTTTATGGTTCCTTCAGGAGAAAATAGATTTTGGTTCGACAATTGTTGGTCGAAACATATATTCGAACTATTTTTTAGTACTTATTGTTGCTTCAGGAGAAAATATATTTTGGTTCGACAATTGTTGGTCGAAATACATTTTGGAACGAAATATTTGAATTTAGTCGAATAATCAAAGTACACATTTTGTTAAATATATAATTTTATCTTATTCGACAAGGACCCAAATTGAGCTAACAAGCTCTTCTAGTTTGAGACCTTGTAGGAAGCAGTGACCTGAATGGAAGGATAATTTAAAGAAGAACTTAGAAGAAGAAAGTGTCTTTGATTTCTCTATTATCCTCTATTATCTCTATTCTCCGCTGTGCCTGTTCATTTTTTGTTAGTCGAGTGAAGCAGGAAGAACCATATATAAAGATGACTTTGATTACTATGCTTTTTGCATACGAATTGTAGAATAAGAGAAGAAACTTCGTTGGGTAAACATCTCTTATTTTGTAGATACCACAAAAAGGGATGCCCAAAAATATTGCCAAAAAAATAACAATTTGAAAAAACTGGGCTTTCAAATGAGGGTGGCGGTCATCCCTTCCGTCACAACTTTTCTCAACAGTAACCTCCTGAATTTTTTTCTTCTCTGAGTTATTTCAAATTGAAAAGTGAATATTAAACGATAAAAAACGAACCTGGAATTTGATTGAAATCGAATAGCCGTCAAAAAGTCCTCGCGTATCAATAATCAGTTCTACTTTTTTGTTTGGCTGGTTTGGCTATAGTTGCGATTTAAGCAAATCATTTACAAATGAACGCTTTTTAAAGCAACTTGTATGTTTTTCATACTATGCTAAATTTTCAGCGCAAACTTCTTCATTGCTTACGTAATAAATGTTCGTGCAGAAAAAAGTTACAACAAATAATCACCAACTATAACTATTTTATTTTAAACCAAGAATATAACTTGGATTACCATTACTAATATTCTGTAGATTTGAATTATTTAAATCGTGAAAACTTCTATTTTCACTTTAGACTTCCCGATATTAATCAGATTTGAGGTGCCGGAAAAATTAATGTTTAGGGTGCACAAAATATTTAAGGCGCATGAAAGAACGTTCATTTTATTCGAGTCCAAATCTCATCACCCGGATTGAGTAGCTGGACCTATCGCTATCTGTTTTGTCATTGTTTCCTTTCGCGGACACTGTTTTGGTTTTGATCAATTTTTTTTGGACTTTTTTCGATTTGCCTGAAATTTTTTTGCTCTAGTATATATATAATGTGAATATATATGTATTCAAAAATGAGTTTTTGCAAATTGATCCTTGCAAATTTGTTGCTTAGGTTTGTATGAAAGTGTGATATCCTTTGGTATGAGAGATAAAAGAATGCCCGTAATACTGAACTTACATAGTGCGAACATAAGTTTTTCTAAGAGTATGAAAAAAAATTGTCGTTGAATTGTATTCAACAGTTCAACAAACTGATGTAAATTACGACTTTTAGATCAAAACTATGGCAAGACCGGAATTACATCATATCACGTGACAAAAGTTTTATAGAATTGGCTACTGCCAAAAACATTTTGTACTTTCTGTAAAATTATATAGCTTATGGGTTTAAATCACAGTTTTCCCCGGTCGAGTTTTTCATTATGAACAGGTAGTTTAAACTATTTTTTCCACTTTTTCTCTTCTTTTTACTGCTTATTTTTCCTTTCAGTATGGTTACCCACTCTGCACCAAAAGCTTTTATCTAACTCTAGAGCCCTCGGTCCAAAATTCCACGTGAATACTTTTTTTATAAACTGATTGAGTCGATGCTTGATTGGATCATTGGATCCCTTGGAAAATTTTGAGTTGCCAATTTTGTCCAGTACGGCTCTAGAGACACTCGGCTCAGTTTCTCGGACATTTTTTATCTCCTCGTGTTTCGCCCTCTACTGTGTTTACAGAGGGTTTCACACGGCTTGCGTATCTGTTCGGCTGTTTATTCCTATCAGACGTCAAACTCTTCTTACATCGCTCGCTGCGGCCGCCATTATTTTAAACGAGTCGTCAATCTGTTCTTGTCTGAGTTTTTCGTCTCCTCATGAGCGTTTCAGGCCCTTCATGAGATGTTTCCGCCAATTCTTCGACAAAAATGGCTACAAACTGTTTTTAAGACAGATCTATTCAACTGTTATTGCTATACCCCTTTTTAGCATCTGCTCTTTCATTTCCAGTCGCTCATAATGAAACTTTTATTTCTTAACCTTTAATTCTTATCAAAATGCTGTAGAATTTCTTAAAAAGTCATTTTTTTCTTTGCCGCGCTTTCCTGTCCCTGCTTTTTTTCGCTGTATTATGACAACTTTGAAGGGCTCTTTTCCAGTTCCCTCTTTCAAAATACCGAGTTTTATGTTTGTTTTACGTGTTATTACAGCTAAATGCGTGAAATTACGCTGAAAAGTATGAGGAACAAATCTGTTCACAGTTGTCGATTTGTTGGTTCTTTTCTCACCCCGAACTTTCAAAATTTCTAGTTTCACCGAAATTACCGAAAAGCAATTATCAAATTCAAGAATTGTTTATCATTACTAATTAAAAAAGACCCATCAGTGGCAACCTTGGCTCTTTTCCAGTTCCCCCTTTTCAAAATCAATTTTCAAAAGCTTATTTAACGTTATTAAAATGCAATGAAATTTGGCGTGGTGAACAAATCGACAGCTGTGAACAGATTTGTTTTTCATACTTTACAGCGTAGCATCACGCAATTAGCCGTAATATCACGTAAAAAAAACATCAAATTCCGTAGTTTGAAAAGGGGGGAACTGGAAAAAAACCACAACCTCTGGTAAATTATCTTGTTAGAAAAAAAATAAAGTGGAATTCCATTTATTATTTTGATTATCAATATCATTGTTTATAACTATAATTTCAGGGGCGGATTTAGGGGTGGAGGGTGAACGCCCCCTTCGCCTCATGGATTCGACCCCCTGCCGACCCAAAGGGTGATGGACACTAATGTTTTTGTAAAGGCGGCTCTTTTCCAGTTCCCCCCTTTCAAATTCAGTTTTGAGAAGCTTCCCTAACGTTGTCATAATGCGATGAAATCGACAACTGTGAACAGTTTTGGGCTCTTTTCCAGTCCCCCTCCCCTTTAATTTTTTCTGAAATTCATTACATGAAAGTCTATTTAAAATGGTTTTTCTTGTGAGAAACTGCAATAGAAGCTGCCAGCCAGTCATTGAAATGGAGCAAAGATGGTTGGTAAAGACTTCTTTTCACTGTGTGAAGAGCCCATGATTCCTTCATGTTGGGTGGCATTTACCTATTGCTTGGTTCAACAAAGCAACACCTTCCAAATCCTGGGTATAGGAGAGTGACTTAAGCACATCAACAAGATTTGAGATGGTAGAAGCAAAACTTGTAATGCTGTCAGAATTGTGCATCTTCAATAGTGGGAAACAATTTAGTTTGTCAAGATGATCAATAACAACCGTTTGTGGCTGGCTGTTTCAAAATACTGTCGGGCTTAAATAAAGATTTCATCGTTTTTGTGTGTTAAAATCTCTAACCACTGTTCCAAGGCTGCTTTGTTGGATTTTTATGATGTAAAAAAAAGATTTCTTCATTTTTGGAGACGGCTTTTCCCGAGCATTCTTTACAACTTTGAAGCCATTTTTTGATTTTAACAGTGCGGTGCGGTCTTTCCTTTCAATGGCCTCAAGAATGCACTCATGGTTTATATCTAACCATTTTTCGAGATTGGTCCTAGCTAGCGTGAGACGGTTGATCTTATCGGCAACATCCGACGCCATTGCTGGCGGAGACGAGGGAACGTTCGCGGTAAGCGGAAACGGGTCGGCAGCCATCGTACAACAAGTGACTACACTGAGCATCAGACAACCCCCAGGAGTGAAACCTGAGGTAAGAAATTAGCACAGTGTAATCAACTCGGAAAAACTTCTGGCTGAACGAAAGAATTGCTATGAACACCTTATCTCGCCTGCTAACCAAACGTTAACAGATAAAAATTGCAAGCAACTCAGAAAATTTTTTTAAAATAAATTAAAGTAAACTCAATTGACAAGGTAAACGAAAAACTAAATTTGATTAAAATTTATGCTAACACTTTGAATTAAAACGAGGACATTCTGGGCGGCCATATAGTTTGCTTCCTTTTGAAAACTTTTCGTTGATTTTTACCATATTTCTTTTTTCGTTTAACTTTTTCAACAATGGTTTTCAAATTTTGGCTGGGTCGTAAAATAATGGTTAAAGATTTCAATTCGAGACGAAAAATTTGATGCAAAGCTTTATATTGCTTTTGAATGGTTTTATCTTTTGCAATTTTTGAGAATTAGTTTGATTTAAAATTGAAATAGTTAAAGGGGCAGACTCCTGTAAAACGGGAAGAATATTGTCTGTGCCCTCTCGGTGACAATGAATGGTTGCAGTTATTCGGTTTCTATAATTGTTTAATAGTCGATTTAGTTGCAAAGCAGACAAACATTGAAAAATATTCCTTTATGCTTAATTATAGAGTTGATGATTAAGTCACAGAACAATATCATTCCGGGATGCTAACTGAGGGTTATTGTGTAAAATGTATTGCACTGTTTTGTTTTGATTTCTTGCAAAAAAATTTAAAGGAAGTCCTTTTAGGGCTAGACAATTTCTTTGCAATCTAGCTCTCAGCTTTTGGGGTTGAGATTGTATTGCATAAAAAAGAGAGCTGGCTGCTAAGATGAAAATCATTATAGTTGTAGAGAACGCTACATTAAGTTATTCTAAGGTACGTTTTAGAATCTTTAGAAAAAAAAACATTGAATGACAAAGTCTTTGTATGAACTGTACGGTTACATCTTTGTGTGCACGGTACTGCACACCCATAGATAACGGGCGGAGGTGGTTCGCTTACGGACTGAAACGCAAACGCGCGCGAACGGAAGCGGACAAGTTGATTGTATTGATCTGAAAATCAGACAACCCCTGATCTGAAAATCAGGAGCAAAACCCGAGTTAAGAAATGAATCCAAACCAACACACGCAACTACGGCGAAGAACGGACAGTGACGATGGGACAACGTTTTTGGGGTCGATATGCGACGTTTTACTATCAGACTGATAAAAAAATCGGTACCAGTAAGGTCGAGTTGAGTGAACTGCTATAAGTTTTAGACAACCCATGGAGTAAAACCCGAGGTAAAAAATTGGCTTAAACAACTCACTCAACAAAAGGAAACGCGGAGAGGAGGCAACAATGTCTGATGTTTTTGAATAAAAATCTCCAATACTTTGGTGTTTTACAGGGGCGGATTTAGGGGTGGAGGGTGAACGCCCCCTTCACCTCATGGATTCGACCCCCTGCCGACCCAAAGGGTGATGGACTCTAATGTTTTTGTAAAGGCGGCTCTTTTCCATTTCCCCCCTTTCAAATTCAGTTTTGAGAAGCTTCCCTAACGTTGTCATAATGCAATGAAATCGACAACTGTGAACAGCTTTAAGCTCTTTTCCAGTCCCCCTCCCCTTTAATTTTTTCTGAAATTCATTACAGAAAAGTCTATTTAAAATGGCTTTTCATGTGAGAAACTGCAATAGAAGCTGCCAGCCAGTCATTGAAATGGAGCAAAGATGGTTGGTAAAGACTCTTTTTCACTGTGTGAAGAGCCCATGATTCCTTCATGTTGGGTGGCATTTACCTAATGCTTGGTTCAACAAAGCAACACCTTCCAAATCCTAGGTATAGGAGAGTGACTTAAGCACATCAACAAGATTTGAGATGGTAGAAGCAAAACTTATAATGCTGTCGGAATTATGCATCTTCAATGGTGGGAAACAATTTTGTTTGTCAAGATGATCATTAACTACGAATAAGAGT